TTATGTGGTGCTGAGGAATCGAACCCAGGGCCTTGAGCATGCAAGGCAAGTGCTCTACCACTGAGCCACCTTCCCAGCCCAGATTGCCTTATTTTTTTTTGTCAGTCATGGGGCTTGAACTCTGGGCCTGGGTGCTGTCCCTGAGCTCTTCAGCTCAAAGTGAGCACTCTACCACTTGAGCCACAGCACCATTTCTGGTTTTCTGGTGGTTTATTGGAGATAAGAGACTTGTGGACTTTCCTGCCTGGGCTGGCTTTGAATCACGATCCTCAGATCTCCGCTTCCTGAGTAGCTAGGATGACAGACGTGAGCCAGTGGAGCTTGGCTTTCAGACTGCTTTTGACAGTCTTGAACAGATCCTTTAAAGCTACCCTCCAGGATCCCTTTACCATACGCTGAAACAAACATGTGGTGCATTCTGTGAGGTGCACTGGGCTCTGCTGGGGCTGCTTGGGACCCTGCTTTCCTAGCCGATGCTGGAATGGAATAACTTCTGCGCTAGGCTCAGTCTGCACTTACCAATGCAGTTCATGTTCCGGAGCCCACTGAACACCCCCTTGGGCACTTTGCGGATGCGGTTGTCATGTATGCGCAGCTCCACCAGGGAGCTGGGCAGATTGGGAGGGATCTCCACCAGGTGGTTCTTGGAGATGTAGAGTTTCTGCAGCTTCCGAAGGGGACTGAAGGCCTTCTCGTGGATCTTGGAGATCTTGTTGTTCACCAGGACAAGGGCCTGAGGCAGGGGCAGAGGTGACAGAGGTAAATGTCCCAACTCTCCAGCCAGTCCACCCTTCTCTCCCTTCCTCCTCTGCCTCCTGGGCTCCTCGTTGATGGCACTTGAGAGATGTTTGAGCCCGGCACAGCCTCAAGGTCAGTGTGTACTTGTAGGCAGAATGCAGAAGAAGCCAGCAACCATGTAAAGCTCTGAGCCCTAGCTATGTCACTACTGCCCAGCCCAGCCTATCACTCCTTGTACTCCGTTTCCCCACATGTGCATTGTTTACAATGAAATCTGCCCTTTATGTGTTGCTAGGAGGAACCAATAAGATAAAAAAAATTTTCAGCCAAACAAGGAACTGACCTAAGTGTGCTTGACTTATTATACTCATACACATAAGCTACAGCCTCGTGAGCACCCCCTACAGCCAGCTCCGGGCTTCTCTCAGTACTACATGGAGCCCTGGGGTCCTCTCATACCCCTCAAATATTTGCACACAAACCCATCTGGACCCAAACCCAAACTACAGACTTCCCAACTTCTCCCAGTTCCTCAGATAGGCTTACATAGAGGTGCTGGAGGCCTTTGAAATCATCTTTGCGGAGCTCTGAGATGTCATTGTTCTGCAGGTCCAACAGCGTGGTGTCAGGTGAGATTTCCCTGGGTACAGTCTTCAGCCCTGGGAGCCAGTACCACAACATTAACATGGGGCCACCCAGTCTGGTGTGGAGGGATGGAGACACCAGGCACACAGGGACACACACACACACACACACACACACACACACACACACACACATACACACAGAGAGGATTATTGGCACAAACATAAGGACTCTGCTGCTAATGAGAAAAAGCTCTAGAGCTTGCAGGCCCCGTTTTTGTCTAAACACATAGACACTCGCACACACACATACACACACACACACACACACACACACACACACACACACCATGACAATCCATCTTGTCTCTCCCTCTCCTTTACTTGGGGCTCTCAGGCTGGGCCGAGCCTCCTGGTACATTCCCACCCCAGCTCCCCAGGGACTGACCCAAGTCAGAACACTGAACAACCCGCAGGTGACAGTGGCAGCCAAAAGGACACATGGCGCTGAAGGTGGGTGTGACGGCGTCCATATCAGGGACACCCGAGGTCGTGTCGGCACCTGAAGCCTCCTCATCATTCATCATGAGCAGCCCATCATCCAGGGTGAAGTCCCAGAAGCCCTTTTGCTCAAAGGGCAGAGCCTGGCTCAGGGCCAGCAGAGACACGAGGAGCCACAGGGGTCGCATGGTGGTTGTCCCTGGGAGCCAAAGTTGAAGAGAGGGTCACGAGTCAGCAAGAGCACCCCCTTTTCTGCCAGTCTCCCCACCATCAATGGTTGCTGGTGGTATGTGCACACGCACACTTGTGTATATGTGCCTTGGCACCGGCTCCCGCATTCCTCGCACCCTGGTAGGTGCGAGGTAGCAGAGGGAGGAGTGATGGGCAAGAGGTGGGACTTGGTTTCATAGGCAACGAAATGTCTTTCCAATTAGCTGTGAGCCTCCCTCCCTGCCCCTGAGTTAACCAGATCCTATTTCGCATTTCGGGTGGGTGGATGGTGTCAGTGAGGCCAAGTGGAGGGGTAGAGGGAAAATCCAGCCATTAGCCCCTTCAGGCCACCCAGCTTATCCCTCCAGAGCTTCAGGCTCAGGGTAATTGTGATGCAATTAGTTTAATTAGGTGGCCATGAGTCATTTCCTTCCCTGCCGGAGCCCCTCCCCCAGGTCCACATTTTTTTGAGAAGGGCCCCGAGGTCAAGGCGCACAAGGCCTGCTGGAGAAAGAGAGGCATCCTATGAGGTTGCAGAGGCGAGGGGGACAGGCCACTGTCCTCCCCTCCCTCTCCCCCTCACCCTCTCGCCCTCCCTCCATTCCGCTGGACCTCAGCACACAAGAACTCCAGATCTGCCCCTGACCTTCCTTTGGGCCCATGACCCTGGAGAAGCTCCCAAGGAGAACAGGCTGCCACCAGGGTAGCAGGGCAGGGTCAGGCTTGTCTGCAAGCTCCCAGGGCTGAGGCAGCTGGGAAGGGGCCGAGGAGATGCTGCTCTGCCTGAGCCTGCCCCAGCATCTGCCTGCTTCTTTCTTCTCCAGCAGACACTGACCCTGTCCAGGGCTTAGTCTGCCCAGACACCTAGAACATATCAGGCAGGGCCAGACCTTCTTCCTTTCCAACCATCCTCACTCCCTGGCACAGGTTCGAGTTTTGTTCTGGCCTCATTCTCCCCATCTGTTGAGCGGACAAAACCATGTCAAGTCAGCTTACCCTTCGGGCATGGATGTCTGGGGTTGCCTGTGTGCATCTGTGGACACGGAACCTAGCTGGCCACCAGGGAACTATGGAGATTCAAAGTAGCCCACTACAAAGAAGCTTTCATTTGTACTTCATCCTGGCAGGCAGAGTTTGGCAAGGGGTGGGCTCCATGTGAGTCCCCTGGAGTCTCAGCATTGAAGGCAAAGATAGAGGAGGTTGTAGGGAGTGGCCTTCCTGGGCAGGCCCAGGGGACAAAGGAGCTGTGGCTTTGGAGTCCTTGGTACCTGCAGGGAGCTAGCCACCCCCAGGCTTGCTTGAATCTGGACACAAGCATTGCACCACCAGTTGCTGTCCATCCTGAGAGAAAACTGGCTCGTGCTGCTGCCTGGGTGCTGCAGAGAATATCCCCAGCATATGTCCCCCTGAGTGGCTCATGGGGCCTGACCTGGCTCCCACCCATTCCCTGGATGGAAGAGCTTGTGTGCAGATGAGAGTGGCAGCTGCCTCCAACAAGTAGCTTCCTTGGGCCCTAAGATCCTATAGCAATGCGAGGGGCTGAGCCCAACACTTAGTTCCGTTTCCCTCTCGCATATACATATGGGCCTGGTACAGACTCCTGAGGTCAGAGAAAGTCCCCTACTGAGAGGTGCTCCACCTCTCTCACTCCTTCACTCCTTTGAAAGGACCCTTGCGATGCTATGTATGGCCACATCGGAAGACTTGCCAGGCCCAGGTGGCCTGGCAGGACCCAGGGGACCCCACCAGAAGTATTGGCCCCAGAGTGGGTAGAAAGACCCGAACTCGCCTACCTAAGTGGTGTGTTCCCCCTTCTTCTCCTTGGTTTACAGCCTCAGGGCAGGGCCAGGTTGGGCAAGGCCTCCTGTGCCTGCTTCCACAGGCAGGGCCCTTGTCCAGGTGCAGGTGTGCACCCGAGGAGTTGCAAGAGAAGCAGGAGCAGTGGGAGAGCAGGAAGAGGAGGCCGAAGGCAGCACAGCAGTTGGAATGGAAGCCAGGCAGGAGCTGCCTCCACGGCTGCCCTGGCTGAAGCTGAAGCTCAAGCTGCTACCTCACAGGAGGATGAGTCAGGACTGGCACAGCTGCCCAACCACCCGCCTCCTGGGTGGGGCCTGGGACCCAAGTCTACCTGGCTGGCTGAGGATGGGGAAGCCCAATGCAGTGGGGAAGGTAGGGGCCGAGGACCATCTACCCATAGCCAACCTGGAGCCTCCAGATCTGGGGGCTGAGGTCTCCACAGGACACTTCTTTTTTTTGGGGGGGGGTCCGGTTGTGGGGCCTGAACTCTGGGCCTGGGCGCTGTCCCTCAGCTCTTCAGCTCAAGGCTAGCGCTCTACCACTTGAGCCACAGCGCCACTTCTGGCTTTTTTCTTTTTGCTTATGTGGTGCTGAGGAATCGAACCCAGGGCCTCATGCATGCAAGACAAGTGCTCTACCACTGAGCCACCTTCCCAGCCCTCCACAGGACATTTCTGTCCCCATCAAGGAATCGCCTCAAAGGCCACACGTGGCTTTCCACACATGAGAGAGATGAAGCTCCTCCACAGGCACTTCCAGGAAACTGGGCCATCTGCTTGGGCGAGGACTCCCTCCTCCAGGGGAGAGGATATCCAGGCCCTGGTACAGCCTTGGGACAATGGGGTCCCTAGAGGAAGTTCACCAGCTCCGAGCAGACTTGCCTGACGTCATAGTAAGTGAAGGGGCTCCCAAGGGGCTGAGAGAGGGGCACAGACAAGAGTCCAGCACTCTGCCTGTTGGTTCCGACTTGGGCTCATCCTGAGGGTTTAGAGACTGAGGGCTGAGAGGCCCGCAAACCAGGGCCCCATGATGGAAGCAGGACAAGGTTTGGCAGCTGTTGTAGGACTCATGACTGAACTGCTGGGGGCGAAGTGAGCTTCTTGGCACAGCCCTCTCCTGCTCTCAGCAACACAAAGCCTACAGGATGCGGCAAGGGATCTCACATAGCCGAGACCCCAGAAAGAATGTTTTCCTGACACTGGCATCTGTAGTCCCACTTCATAGATGAGAAAACTGAGGCCTAGAGAGAAGAACTGATTTCTCCCGTCACCCCCAGTCACTCGGCTCATTCAGCTACCCTTGGGTTGTAGGTAGGGCTGTCTAGTAGGAGGCCCTGGGCTCACAACTGGGTAATGAGGACAGCTGGGGGAAGAATCTCCCTTGTCTGGTGGTGGTAAACGTCAGGGTGTTGCAGATCATCCTTGGTCTCCTCACACAGGAAGCAACCCATGGGCAGACACTGTGAGACCTACATGAAGTCCCTCCCCTCCCAACCTCCCCACCACCCATGGGGCCTCTGGGCCTCAGTTTCCCTTCATCGACCCTCATGGAGGTTTCCTTAAGCTCCATCAAAGCCAGCTAAGTCTGCTGGATGCCACCTCCTCAGAGCAAAGGAAAGAAGTGGTCATCGTGGTGAGCCTCAGCTTGGCGACCGCAGATGGCAGCAAGGGAAGAGGCTGGGCTTCCTGGAGCCTTTGCCACCATCTCAATAGGGCCCTCCTTGTCTGCCCCTCTGAAAGCCAGCGCAGTCCTCTATGCAGCATTGCTCCAAGTCACAGCTCAACAAGACACGCTGGCAGCCTCTGAAAACATGGAGGGGCTGTGCCAGGCATTCAGGCAAGGCCAAGGGTGGCAGGAGCAAGACTGGAGGTCTGGCAGGCCTTAGGCATTCGCCTGCAGATGTGTCGCTGGCAGCTGCCAAGGAGTAGACGCTGGGCTCACACTGTACAGCTAAAGCTGGGGCATCTCCGAGAAATGTGCTGCCCTCTGCACAGCCCTGTTGAGCCTCTGGAATTTGGGGAGTGGGAGAGGGTGGCAGGGAGCAAGTGTGGGTGACCTTCTCCCCTCCTCTCTGAACACCGAGGCTGTCTGCAGCTTCAACCAAGAGGCTGACACCTGGCCTGGTCTCTGGGACCGTCCTGATCTCCCCTAGGCTCCAGCCTCTGCTTGAGTGTTAACCAGAGCAAAGGAATGTGCATTTCCCAAGGCCCTGCCGAAGGCTCTGTGTGTGTGTGTGCGTGCGCGTGCGTGCGTGCGTGCACAGCCATGTAAATGTGCATGTGGAGCTGGGGATTGGAGGAATGACCCTGAGCCCCATCACATCTGCAATCTGGGCCACACACTGAACTCATGGCCATTGTCTCACGTGGCAGCTATGGGATAGATCCCCAAGGGTGACCGCTAGGGCAGCTGTTTCCTTTCATGGTCCTGGCACTGCTGCAGTGGTTGGACAGAGTTGGGGCATGTTCTCAGTCAGTCTTGGGAGATGGGCTGTACCTAAATGTTGCTCTTAAGAGGCTTCAAGGAGCAAGCACAAGGGAGCTGTCACGATGGCTGGGTGCATCAAGGGAAAGCTTTCTATCCCCTGCCCTAATGTACCAAGACACTTCTGGAGTCAGACAGAAGATGATGCTGGTTGGCTGAAGGTTCTAGGCTGTCTGGTCTTTCTTCACCTGAGCCAGGGCTCTCTCTCCTCTTCCTGGTCACTGAAGAAATCTAGGCTCCTACTTGCCTTGTGTTAGACTCTTCGGAGAAGAGGGAAGATGCTAGCATCTCCCAATGGCAGGGCCGGGGATTTGACAGACTTCTTCACCTAGCCACCCTCCCGTTGTTGACCATAAGAAGGAAGCTATGCTTTTAACATGTGCTGGAGGGATAAACGAAGCTCAGAGAGTTTGCCCCCAAACCCCTGCCCAAGGCCACACAGTGAGGAAATGGTACAGCGGGGATTCCACGTAACCACCCACCTGCCAGTGTCATCTCACTGCCAGGGAAGGAGACCAGTCAGGCAACCAGGTCCCAAGACCAGAGAGCCTCTTTGCTTCCTTGGAATGGGGTTTCCTACCGTCTCTCCTACATTCCTCCTACTCCCTTTCAAGGGCTCTGGCTGAGGTGAGATCTAGCTCTCTTTAGCCAGCCAGCCAGGCTAGGATCCTGTCCACCTTGAAACCTCCCAAGGACTGTGGGGGCTCCTTGCAGTCAGAGTCCCCTAAAGCCCACAGAAGGCCACTTCTGGGGCTCTTCTGACTCCGAGCAAGAAGGCATACGGCAAGAAAACAAATGGGGAAAGGCTGAGGTTGCACCTAGAGTCACAGAAATATCCAAGGAAGCTGTCAGTTCCAAATGGGGGACAAAACACAAAATTCCCGCTTCCCAGAGGCAGTGGCTCAGCAAGCCCCGGCCTTCCCCTGAGAACCTGAAGAAGCTAGTTATTTCAGAAGATGAGAAAAGCTAAGCATGGAGCAAGTCTGAGCTGCCCTCTCCTCTTAGCCGTGGTGCTCACTTATCCCTCTGCTGACTCCCTGAAGGTTCTATAGGTCACAACTTATACTGTGGCCCCTGACCTCCCCTGGCTCAGTGTCTGAGGCCAAGGATGAAGGAGAGCCCTTGGGGAGGGGAGGTGTCAGCGGATAACGCAGGCTCCAGTGGGCCAGGGATGAGGCAGCATCAGAGCCTGCAGGACCCTAGGTTGGTCTGTCTACAGAGCGCCTGTGCCTACCCTGCACCCTGCAGCCCGTGGCCAGGTGGGGGAGGGCAGCTCTGCCACATTGTACCACTTGGTGTGAGTGAGGTCCCTGTGGGCTGCACCCCCTCCCCTCCGAGGTGTGAGCCTAGGCTGCCAGGGACAGCCTGCTGCCAGGACTGTGGGGGCGGTGGCCAGCCTGGGAGGTGGGCGGGGCAATGCGGAGGAGGGCTGGGAGTAACTAGAGAGGAGGAGCGGGAGGGGGTCGTGATGGGTGTGGGAAGACTTTGTAATAATCAGTGGTGTTGTCAGAGGTGTGGGGCTCCAGCAGGTGCATCACATGGAAAAGGTAGGCTAAGAATCCCATGGGACAGAGAACACATGATTCCTGGGACAGACTAATGTTACATGGTCTCTATGGAGTGGGTGGGCCCAGGAAGCCAGAAGATGAGTGGAATCCCATCCCCTCCCTACACCCCCACACAGAGTTCCAAGAAACCAGAAGTCCTTAGGGAAGGTTCCAGAGGGGCAAAGTGCATAGTGTGGCCTCATTCCAAATTCCTCTTCTTGGGACTTGGTACTGTCCCTGGAAGAGATACTCATCGGCCTTGTAAGTGACTTCCAGCATGTAGCTAGAGGAAGTATCCCCTTTCCTCCTGCCCTTTCCCATCCGTGATCCCACAGCCTAGTGCTGCAGGAGGGACTGGCTTGGAGCAGTGCTGGCAAGTCAGCCTGCACACACAGGATGCTCAGGGCTGGCACTCCTCCTCCCAGGACCCCTAGGATGAGCCTAGCTGCTGCAGACTTCCCAGCCACAAAGTGGGCCCTGGCTCCTGCTCTGAGGATGGTGCTGAAGCAATGGCAGAGTTAATCCCTCCTCCAAGTTGGGTCCCTGGACCAGTGTGCACATAGGCCACGAAGGCTAGCTGGCCACACCCAGCTGCCTAACTGGCCACAGGAACCCTCTCTGCTTCCTGACTCAGAGCCAGCCTTTGCTGCCCAGCCCTAGTGGCTTAAAGGCAGCCGTGTGTCTTTCTGTCCATACACATCCACAGATCTGCCCTCAAAGGCTTCCCACTGGCACACAGCCACCATATACAGGCATACTCTACAGAAAGGCATCCCTGCCCTCCCACCTCTCCCAGGCTGTGGGAGACACAGTTGAGTATATGTTACCCAGAGGTATTCACCGGTACCCATTGGATGCAGGCCCCTGGGACTCTACCTGGTACTTAAGGATAATTATTTGCTTGTGTCCATCTAAATCAGCCACTACAGGGCAGAGAGCAGGCAGGCCAGGAAAGGACAAGGCACAGAGGCAGGAGCCCCAGGAACAGGACCTGAACTTCCTAGTGGGTAGTCAGGAGAGCAGGCTACCTGTGAAGACTGTTGGAGAATAATGTCCGTGGCCTCAATGAGATCGTTCCTGCTTGCCTCACTTGTGGCTCTGCTGTGAAGACACAGCTCCTCCTGCTCTGGGCAAATGGGCACCTGGCCACACCCATGGAGCAGCCAAAGGGTGCTCTCATTCCTGCAGAGTCCCTGGGCACTTGGTGGACACCCAGATGGCTCTGTTCTCTCTTGTTCCCTCTTCTGGGTCCCTTGGCAGGCCCCTCTAGGGCCCTAAGCCAGGGCTGTCTCTGAGAACATGGCACAGTATCCTGATTTCCTCTTCTCCTACTTGCCTGCTGCCCATTTGGAGTCCTAATTCCAGAGGGACAGGACAGAGGCACCCAGGCAGGCCCACCTAGGACCCCTGTAGCTAGGGCTCTGTGGACCCACACCTCGCCCAGGAGAAAGCAGAGGAAGTTCATTGTCTGTGGTAAGCGAGGAATATCTGGGCAGGGTGCCTGGGCTGTGCCTGGGAAAGCAAGGCTCTCAGCCCATGCCAAGGAATAGCCTGGGCAGCAGGGGACTACTTGGGTGCTGAGCTCGGCGGGTGCCCCAGGGCCTCCGTGACCCTGGCAGGCACAAAGCCCTAGAGTGATGCTGGCAGCAAGTGGAGGGTGTCCTCCTTGTGGCTGCTGGTGAACAGACAAGGCAGTTGACAGAGCTAGGGTGCCAGCCACCCAGCCAGATGGGTGGCAGGGTGCCCATGCTGAGGCAGAGAGCAAGAGGTGGACAGTTGGCAGTGAGGAACCCCCCCATCCCCCCCCCCCTGCTGCACACACATCCCAAGGCAGAGAACAAGCGGTGCATACAGCTTGGTGGTTGGGCAGGCTCAGAAGGGAGAGGGAAGGGAAGGTGATAAGGTGCTTGGAAGAGAGTGGGGAGAAGACACAGACATGGGACAAGGACCAAGGGGGCCACAGGGTGGCAGTGAAGGGGCGTGAACCAGGAGCTTCTGGGGTGCGCAGGGGCGGGAAAGGTAGTAAGGGGCAGCAGAGCCATGGACACTGGGGAGAGCGGGGCCACAGGTCAGGGCAGCAGAGGCAGCAGAGTGGGGGACAGGACAGAGGAGCCAGGAGTAGAAGAGTGAGCACAGATGGAGGCCAGTGTCTCCAAGGGAAGGTGGGCATATGTGAGGCTGGTGGGGGTGGGGGGCCTACCTGGGGCGTGGAAGCAGCCAGGTGCAGGCTGCCTAGTTGGTAGGCTAAGATGTCAGGCTGTCCAAGTGTCTGTATCAGGCCTGGTGGACCGAGAGCAGCAGCTCACTCCTGGGCAGTTCTTGGAGAGAGGGAGACAGAGGCGGTGGGAGGGAGGCTAAAGGCTGGGCGGGCGGGCCGACAGGGAGGGGACAGCAGGGAGGGGGCGGGGAGGGAGGCAAAAGGGAGGGAGGGCGGGTAAGAGGGAGGGGGCAGGCTTTCCGTCCCCCCTGGCAGCTTCAAAGGGAGCAATTTTCTTGTAGCTGGCTGGGCTAGCTTTACCCCTCCCCCTTGCGCCCCTCACCCCGCCCCCCCAGGCAGATTTCAAGAGGACACCACACACACACACACACACACACACACACACACACACACACGGACCCTTGGCGTCTCTGGACAGGCACTGACTCAGTCAAACTTTCCACTGTCCAGATGGGGACACTGAGGCGCTTGCTGGCACTCACTGGGCAGAAGAAAGTGAGAGGGCAGAAATGGGAGAGGAGAGGGATATGGCCTCCCATTACTAGGCCAGTGAGTGGCTCCTGAAATTCTGTCCTAATTCCACCCAGAACTTTCCTTCTGCCTGCTGAAACAAGAAGGTGGTTTCTCTGGGGTTAGAGAGGTAGCTGTTGTGGATTTCTGGAAGGACTTGATCTAGGCTCCCAGCCTCCCTGAAAGCCTTCCTTCTACTCCAGTCTTTCTTCCTTTAACAGGAGGCAGTGGTCCTGTCTGGGTGACAGCAGGAAGGGAACTAGCTTGGGGCTGGCAGGAGGGACTGGCAGATGTAGGGAGTGGGGTGGGGGAGCTCCCTGGCTTGCCTGCTCAGAGGCTTTAGAGAAGCTGAAAGGCAGGAGAAGCTGTACTGGGAACGCTGATTCAGAGAAAAGGAAGCCAGACAGTCATTCTCCTTGCTCAATCCCAGCAGGCCCCCTAGGACATGATAACCGCTCTCTGAGTGCAAAGCATTTCCTCTGGTCACTTTCAGGGACTAAGTGGTCCAGCTTGCCAAATCTTAGCCAGCCACTTCCTGAGGGCCAGAGTGAGCCTTCATGTATAGCAAGGCACCTCCTCTCTGTCCAGTGAGGACCCCCCCCACTGCCCTGGGACACCAAGGTGAAGCCCCAGATGCACGAAGTGACCGTGGGGAGCCAAGGGAGGGGGAAGCGCAAACAAGAATATTGCTGGGCCAGGCATTGGAAGTTCACGCCTGTAATCCTAGCTACTCAGGAGGCTGAGATCTGAGGATCGCGGTTCAAAGCCAGCCCAGGCAGGAAAGACCGTGAGACTCTTATCTCTAATAAACTACTCAGAAAACTGGAAGTGGCACTGTGGCTCAGGTGGTAGAGCACTAGCCTTGAGCTGAAGAGCTCAGGGACAGTGCCCAGGCCCAGAGTTCAAGCCCCACGACCAAAAAAAAAAAGAAAGAAAAAAGAATATTGCTTGAAGAAGGACAAGCTGTCAGGGGCGGGACTGGAGGGAAGGCCACTGGAGAGAGACAGGGGTGAGGGATTAGAATCCTGTCACTCAGTCAGGGGCTGGAATGGAACTTCCTCAGATCAAGAAAGAGGCTCTCAGGAAGATTTTACCTGGAGCCAGGATCACCGCAGGGCCCAGCTGTAGTATCTGGCTGCAGAGAAGAGAGAAATGGGTCTAGATCGGGAACCGTGAGTTCACTTGTTTTCATGGTCAAGACGATGCAATTGGATGACGATACAGTAACCCAGGGCTTTTGTCTGCTGGCTTATTCCTGTCACTTTTTTTTCTTTTCTCCTTCCCTTCCTCCCTTCCTTTGTCTTTACAGTGCTGGGAATGGAGCAGACTCTAGGCCAGTGTGCTAGCACTCAGCTACACCTCCAGATTCAGCTTTTACTTTTCACTGTATACATGCTCAAACGTATTTGTGGTGAGTACAAGTGTAATGTCACCAATGCTAGGGAGTCTCAAGGAGCCTCAAGCTACCCGAACTCTGCCCCTCGCCCTTGTCTAATCTCTCTCCCAGTTCCACACTGGATTTGGACCCTGGTATCTACTCACTCATGCTAAACGTGTCAGCAGACATCAGGGCAGAGGCAGAAAAGGGTCTAAAACCACGTATTGAACCTTCTGCTTAGTGACAGCACCCAATAGCAAAAGGCCACATTGATGTCCGGTCTTAGTTATTTGAAATAATCAGCATAGACCCATCAATAGAGAGAGAAAACAGGTGGGAGGGGGATGGAGGAGTGATAGCTGAAGGTATGGGTCCCCTCATCCCTCACACACACGAGCTGTTGCACAGATCTTAGGCCTCCAAGAACCCTAGCAGGGAGAAACGGCCCTGAGGACAGTGCTCAGGGTATAGGGGGATCCCAGGAGGGAGCCATCATGGTCTTCTCTGGGGACTCCCAGGGCAGGACTGTGAATGCCATGAGAAGACAGTGGTTCTCTTGTTTCTGGCCTCCCTAGGGCCACACATAGCACCAGAGGCTCAGAAAGACTTCCTGGAGGTGGCATGAACAGACCAATAGGCAAGCGGGTTGGGGAACAGCAGCATGAAGACATCCTACAGGTAAGCAGTAGCCAGTCCTTCTCCAGGACAGATCTCACCCTCAGGTCTTGGTCTTGGGTGTTTCTGGCAGGGTCTTGGAGTAGTGATGTAGCAAGACCTGGCATGGAGACCAGGGGATGGGGAGGGGAGCCCAGTATACACATTGAAGTTGGGGATACATCTGGGGCAGTATTTGTATAAATATGGTTTTTGTGCCTGCCTGGAAGGTTCTTGTGTCTGTGGTTTGTAGTCTGCAATAAGCTATAAGTGCTTGCCCAGCCCAGGGCCCACTGAGTCACTCGGCCTGGCCCTCTAATTTGGGGCTCATTCCCAGAACCATCAGGCAGCACCTCAGTCCTCGGGCTTGCCCTTCCTCCTTTCCTCTTCTTCTCTCTTCCTCAGGTCCCACATGTCTAGAGTACAAGGATAAATTGGATCCTAGCTGAAGCATGGCTGGGCACAAGCCATCTTTCCAGCCAGCAGAGAAGGAGCAGGCGGCCTACTGCCCTCTGTCCTCCCCGCAGCTGGGAGGAGGTGGGGAGTGAAGAAAACGGGTGTGTGGGGGTAAGGCAGGAAGGAAGAGCAGGAATTTCCTGAGGCCCCTAGGATTCCTGAGGAGGAGTCAAATGCACAGCTGTCTCAGTGCCCCAGGGACCAGTGACAGACTGAGTTCAGAGCCCAGCCCATGTGTGACTCTACACCATCACGAGACAGGCGTCCAAAGCCTTCCGTTGTATGCCTCCCCAGAGGGCTAGAGGTGGGGTAAGGCCTTGCTGCTGTCACCAGCCCACTCGCCTCACCTGCCTTTCAGCCTGGGAAAGCCCCTTCTCTTGCTTCTTGGCCCTCTTCACTTGAGAAAGAGTCTAGCTCCTCAGACTCATGGAGTGGGCAGCCAGCTCTGCTGCTGGGGAAAGGGGTCTTGCATGGGCCAGGCTAGGCTATATCCTGGCCTCCTTCTCTAAGCAGCCTTGGCCCTCACCAGGCAGTCTAGGGAAGAGTATTTGGTAGGTGCTGATGGAGGGCAGGGCAGAGTCCTCTGCTTGAGAGGAGGAGGGAAGAAGGGAGGAAGAGAGAAGAGGAAGAAGAGAAAAGAGCAAGAAGGAAGGAGGGGGCCAAAGAGGAAAAGGACTGAGAGGAAGGGAGGCTGCCTCTCCCTGAGCAGGAGCGTCTCAGCCAGCCTCTACCTCCTTGGCCTGTGTCTGAAGGAGCGGGCGTCAGCTGCAGCACATCCCCCTCACAGCTGGCTTGCAGCTGTTTGTGCCTTAGCTAGAATGGGGAGGCTCGGGAAAGAAGTAGGGGCACTCAAAGGGCAGGCCTCTGGTCTCCTTTGGGCATGAGACATTGGCCATTACAGTGAGTCCCTGGAGGGCAGGGTGGGGAGACTGGCAGGTGCTCTGTGGGTAGAGCTTCCAGAGGCTGGTAGAAAACCCTCCACAGGGGTGGCAGCTGCTGAGAAAGCTGCCACCTGGAGCTCCACCCATCTACCTGCTGTCCTGCCTGTGGAAAAGGAAAGGCCAATGGCTGTCTTCCTGCAGAGGAGAGACCTGGGAAGCAGAGGAGAGACCTGGGAAGCAGTGGCGAGCTACTGGGAGGGCATGAGACAGGTAGGAGATCTGTCCCTGGAGAGGGTCCATGCTGTGGGACCATGAGCCAGGACATGCCTGAAGAAGCCAGAAGATGACCTAGGAAATGGGGGTGAGGGGTGGGGATGGGTGGGAGGAGGCCTAGACAGGAACACATCACAGGTATATCAGGGGTATTTCTTGAGCAAGCAAGCCTGCTCAGCATTGCTTCCCAAATCCACAACCTTGCTAGGACCTCTTTGCCCCCTCCAGCCCATCAATGCCTACAGTCTCAGCAGCTGAGTAGGGGCAGGTGAGCAGCAGACCCACAGATCCAAAGGGTTGTTCCACACCACCACCAGTACCACCAGCATGAGAGCAGGTGGTATAAGGTGGCAGAGAATGGATGCTCCCGGAGACCCTTTGGGTGCAGGGAGTATGACAGTTAGGGACATGGTTTGAGCCAAATTGCTCAAGAGGTAGCATCTGAGGCGGTACTAGTAAGCCAAGCCTCCACTGTCTGGAAGCTTCCCAGTGCTGATCGCAGAGGCGTGGCTGGCGAAAGTTGGCACTGTGCATGCCAGGAGCTTTTTTTGACCTTCCCCTGAGGACATAATCACATAGCATCACCCCCCTCCAGGCCACCAGGGCTGTAATTTCAGGGCCCAAAGGGGGCTCCTTGAAGGCCCAGCCTGTGTCTAGCTATCTTTAGAGGCATGGCCTGAGCCGTGGCCAGAGGAGGAAAAGTGGATTTGGCTATGCTGTGACCCTGTGGATGATCTGCCGAGCAGAGCAGCTAGAGGGAGTGGACGAAGCACCTAGGACAGTGGACTCTCTCCTGGCACAAGGAAGGACCCAAGCATGCTGCCTTGGCTCTGCCTGCAGCCTGTAGAACTCAGAGGCTTTAAGTGGGGCCAGGGAGGGTCTGGCCAGGGCCTTCCCTGTGGTCAGACTCCAACCTGAAGGTGCCTTGTAGAGAGCAGCACCTGACCTGAGGACTGTGCAACTTGGGGTCTCCAGGTTGTCCCCATGTGGTCATTTCAGTGGCAGCGGGAGTGGGGGCTGGGCACAGCACCTTAACCATTCCTTCTGGAGTCTGCTTCTGGAGGAGGAGTCTTGAGAAAGGCTTACCCAGCACTGGGGTGGGAAGCTTGGAACAGGATGTAGACAAGTTGGGCAGGGAGGCTGGAAGATTGGAGAAGAATTTGGAGGTTGATGGGACTTGGACTGGGACGAGCGGAGCAGACTTGTAAGTTCCCACTGATGAGGTCCCTGGCAGGAGTCACAGGCCCAGCCCCAATAAGCACATGGCTCCTCCCTTCCATTTTCCACTTAAGCTTATTGGCTTTATACGTAACCCTCCTTGTCCCCACTGTCCCAAGCCTTTATCTCTGTACCCCAGTCTCAATCTGGGGCCCAGTGAGCGTTTCCCTTCTCATCGTATGACCCCTTAGTAGCACTATGTCACATTAGAGGATTAGCACCTTAGACTGACTAACTGGGCTACCTACATACTGTGCCTTTAGACAGTCAGCACCTGCCTGAAGAGGAGTGTACTAACCATGCCATGAGGATGTCATGTGTGGGCCTAAGGAACTGGTAGACAGTGGGAGCATGGGAATGGGCAGGAGGTGGCATGGTCCTGCCACCAGGCTTCCATGTTTTGAATTTACTCCCTAGGTTGGGCTCTGGCTGGGGGTGTCCAAGTGCTACCAGTCCAAACTCTCACCCTTCTATATCATCACATCGTGGAAATTCCTGGATACCAGATGTTGCCCCCAGCCCCAGTGCTCAGCTCTGGCTCTCTTGGGGCATTGGAAAAGAGCCAGAGCTACAGAGAGTAGGTGTCCCCACCTCAATCATGCCGGTGTGCTGAGCAGCTCTAGTGAATGATGGCTTATACATAAAGACCAGGTCCCTTTGTCCCAACTGAGGACCAGACTAATTTCCAGCTGGTCATGGGGCTAGCTTTTCCCAAGTCCAGGTGGTGAACGCAAGCACCTGATAAAATGCCCAGGGCTAGTCTCCTTCTTCAGAGTAGGGAAGGTCATGGAGGGAGACTTTGCTACTCTTTAGCGGCCCCAGCTGCTTCCTAAGAAGTGAAATGAACCTAGGCATCACCAATGGAATGCCAACCCTCTTTCCCCATCCATCTTCACATGGGGACCATCTCTCCTCTCCTTCCCCCCCCCACAGGTCTAAGAAGGGCCTGGGACTGTGGGCCTCTTTGTCTCATCTGCACAGCAGAGGTAAAAATGAGGAGAAAAGAATGTTGGAGTTGCCTGCCCTCCCAGGCCTGAACTGACTGCAAAATGGGTGGGGGCTGGAGGACCAAGAGGCCAGAGCAGGAAGGGCAGGGGCTGGGGTGGCCAAGCTGGGGAGGGTGGGTTCTCAGAGAGCTGAGAAAGCAGGGCCAGCGCCTCCAGGGCTGATGACCTCTGACCCAGCCCAAACAGGAAGTGCCATATCTGTGGGCCCAGACCCGGGAGGAGAAGGAATGCAGGGATGAATCCAAAGCAAACACTCCACCAGCTTAGCTTCCCAGGCCTCTCTCTGCACCCCTCCAACTCTGGCCCTTTTTTTCTGCTGAGAATGTGGGAGTGGGGGAGGAGGGGGAAGGATTCAGCTGACGAATGGGGCCAAGACAAGATGGAGTTCCCAGGCTCAGAGCCCAGTTGGAATTGGTGGTAGGGAGGTGTCTGTGGGCATCTTTGGGTCCTCCAACCTTCCACATCCATGAAAGCAGCAGTGCTGCCCCTCTCCTGTTGCAACCCTGCCTGCCTGTTACCTGTTCCCATGGCACTGTGACCGGTGGAGGCTGACCCAGGGACCCTGACCCTTTCCCTGTGGTCTCTTCACAGGCAGGGAAACTGCCAAGTCCAGGCCTGGCTTTGCCCAGACTAAGGAACTCAGTTCTTAATCATTGTTGACTAGATACTACTACCCTTCCTGCGGTACCAGGTTGCCATGGGGTCATGACCTGATTGCACAGTGAGTGGGCCCTATGTCTTTGGGCAAGTTCATTTACCTACCTATACCTTAGTCTCCCATCTGTGAGATGCAGGTGAGGCCCTAGGGACCTAGAAAGCTGCCCAGGACTGGGTGTACATTAGGGAGGGACCAGGATGGGGATCCTGGAACCTAGATTGAGATGAGAAGCAAAAGTGTGTTCCCTCCGAGGTGCTATCATGCAGTAGTCACTAGCTCCTATAGCTTTAGGACAAAAGGTAAGTGTGGCATATGGCCTCCATAACCAGCCTGCACCAGATAGCTAAACCTACCTTGGTGGGTCCAGGTCTAAGACACAGGCACTTCCTGCATGAGAGAGCTCAGCTGCAGATGGTTCCTGAAGCAAAGGAGGATCCTCGTGAGGGTAGGGTGTGGGGAGGCTCTCCAAGGAGCTATGGGAATCAAGCCTCTGGTGAAGCACTGTCTAAGGTCGGGCCCCAGAAACTCATGGACAAAGAGATGCAGTGCGTGTGCTAAATCTAGTAGAGAAGAAAGGAGGGATTCCCAACACAGGACTGAAGGAGATGCATTTAATTCAGTCAAGTCCCTCTTCATCCTTTGCCCTCTGTTGGGTTATTTGCTAACTGAAACAGCCTCCATCAGTCATAAAAAGTGGGCATAACCAAAGCAATGGGAGCTTCTAAGTCTTTATCCAATGGTGCAAAGATCAAGTGGAGCTGGGTTTGGGGTGCTGCCCTCCAATGAGCAGTGCACATGTTTGGGAAGGTGGGTGGGGAAGGGCTAGGAGTCCTCTTCTCCCTGCTGGGGTTGGATGATCACACTGTGGTAGGCTCGGATACAGGAGAAGGCAGTGGGTGGGATGCGGCGCCGGTCAATGAGGTTGTTCTCCAGGTGTGTGGCTATAAGTTTGGAGTCCTGGGTCACACGTGTGTCACAGATGGAATTCAGAGGCACGTGTCTGTGAGAAGAAGATTGAAGGGCCCAGAAAAAGAGAGGCAAGCATCATGCAAAAATAGAACCTCACAGTGAGTGGAATAGTTAGAGGGGAGACACAGAGATCTGAAGTTGGGGGGAGGATCAGGCAGAATCCCAGCTCACTCTCAACTGACCACTCAGCACGAGGCTCCTAGCCCCAGTCCTTGCCACTCTGCCTTCCCTTAGCCTACGCCCTGGACAGACTAATCTGTCCAAAGTCCTATCTTGGCTGTCTGGGTCTGCCAGCCATTTACACAGCACAGCCTCTTATCATGACAATCAAGATGGATGGATGCATGGGTTGGGGGTAGAGGAAACGATCTCCCCCCCCCCTTCCATCCTCTCTCAGGCTTCTGTGACCTGTGGGTGAGGATTCTGCCCTAGCCGGTGCCTGGCTGGGGTTGGACATGGGCGCAGATAGGTGGCCCTACCTGATCTTATTGTTGCTCAGGCGCAGCACCTGCAGACCCTTAAGCTCCAGGAGGCCTCGTGGAATGGCCTGCAGCTGGTTGTGATCCAGCAGCAGCTCTGCCAGGGAGGCATGCAAGCCCAAGAAGGACACTCTGTGGATACCATCACTGCGCAGCCTGTTGTGGGACAGGTGTAGGAACTCCAGGCCTGGCTTCATGTGGGCAAATACATAGCCAGGGATGCGTTCAATGAGATTGTGATGCAGAATCAGGTGTCTTAGGCCTCGTGGCAGGAAGGAAGGCACATGCACCAGCAGGTTATGAGACAGATCGAGGGTCTTCAGCTTCCTATGGGGTGGACGACACAGGTGAGGAGGGAGCTGGTGGCTTGAGAGTCCCACTCACTCCTGACTTCAGTGGAGCTCCAGAGGCTGGAACTCTGAACTGGGGTGATGGGCCCGTCTCCACTTCACCCTAGGTAGCAGGGATTTATAGGACTCCTGAGTCAGGCTACGCCCTGGGTGGCTTCTGTGTCCCCCTCTGGCCTGCAATTGGGGAGCTTAGATGAAGCCTTCCTTGCTGCCTTTGGGGCCAGCTACACTAACCCTCAGTATAGAGGTAGCAGACCTTTCTCTCACTTCTTGCCTTCCCTCTGTTCCTTGTCACAGGCCTCCTGGACTATTGGGCCTGACAACTGACACAGGGAGGTACCTAAAATCTATCTCCTCCCTGCCTGTCCAAAGCCTCAGAGCCTTCTCCTTGTATCTCTGTCAATCTTCCCTTTCATTGCTGCCTTTGCCAAGTCGGGGATGGACCCCAGGCCCTAGAGAAGGGTAGGTATGTGATCCACCATTGGGCTATGGCCCCTCAGCCCTCTCTCACTCCCCTTCTCCTCCCCCTGCCTCAGCTAGCCTTTTCAGCAGCCATTCAGGAATCAGACGGGCAGAGAGATGCCTGGGCTCTCAGCCCTTAGTGTCCATGCTCCAGAGGGACAGATCAGGGCTGATAGGGAAAACCAGGTCACCACCCTCACTTCTCACCAAGCTACCATGCGTTGGTCCATGGTGGATCCTAGACGCTCTGCCTCCAGCAGCCAGTGAGCCCTGGTCCCTGCTGCTCTGCAAGAGCAGAGGGTGGCAATGCTTCTAGAATGTTTCAGAGCAGGGAAAGTGGCTTCTTTCAGTGATCCTCCCTCACCCCAGCTCCAGTAGGGAATTAGCCATTTGGGCAGCTCTGCCTCCTGCCCCTGTGGGCTGTAGCTCCTCCCCTTCCATCAGCAGAGAGGAGACAAGGCAAGCAGGCCTGGAGTCAGGAGAGGCAGGAGCTGAGCTGCCTGGGCTTGACTGGCGGCCAGCCCCCTGCCCAGGCCCCGCAGTGGCGGCGGCAGGCGGCGGAGTGGAACGTGGCTGGGTGGCCCCTCCCAGGCTGCTGTCTGCTTTCCTTTGCCCCCTTGGCGAGAGGGGAGGGGGAGGAAAAAGGAATAATTAAACCCAAACGTCCTGGTAACTTTTTCCTGGAACAAGAGAATGCAGGGCTGGAGGCTCTGGTCCAGGGAATGAAGGGTGGGACTGTCTGTAGACCCTGCCTCCACTCTCCACTCTAGCCCCACCCTGTCTTGGTGGTCAACAGATCCTCCTTAGCCTCTTACCTGGCACCCAGCCTCCCTTTGGCCTTCCAAACTGTTCCCCAAATGTGGTCTCGGTTCCTAACCCAGGTAGCTTCTTTTCACTGTGCACAGTCTGTAAATGCCAACACCCCTCACCTAGTTGTCTAAACTAGAATGGGAAGTCATCCTAGACCTTTCTGGTAGTGGGGTTAACAATTCCGCCCTAAAGGTATATCTACATATAGAGCAAGGGAAGATGTGGGGGCAGAAACCCCTCTGCCAGGCCTAGATGCTGAACTGGAAGATCATCATCTTTGGGAGGGCTACCTAAGGCCTCTACCATGATAGGCAGAGTGATGAGGTTCAAGACTGGCCAGTCAATAGGGTGATTTCACCAAGATTGGCACACGAGGCAAAGGCCTAGAGTGCTCTCCTGTAGTGAAGAGGCCCTGGGTGGTAGTAGGTACCTTTGAACTTCCAGAAGGTCCCTCTGGTAGCTGGTATCACAGACTACATGGCAGCTCTCCAAAATGAACTCTTATCCTAGTCCCCAGGCCCTTTGAATGTGACCTTATTTGGCAAAAATAAAAGAGGCTCTTTGGAGATGTAGTGAATGGAGGGATGTGGAGATGAGGTTATGCTAGATTATCTAGACTGGCCTTAAATACAATGACAGGTGCATATAGAGCAGACAGATGAGAGAGAAGACAGACAGTCACAGGCAATGAGCCTATGTACAGACAGAAGCAGACATTGGCTTGATGCAGCCACAAACCAAGTATGTGAGTTAGCGTTCTCATTGTGATGACAGACTGCCTGATATAAACAATTTAAATGGAGGAAAGATTTCTTTAGCTTGTGGTGTCAGAGGTTTGCATGAGAGTGTGGTAGAGCAGCTCACATCACAGAACAGAGGAAACAGAGCAAAAGAAATACAGGAAGAGGCCAGGACAAGATATAGACCCCAACCTGCCCCCTCCAGTGATCTGCTTTATCCAACTTAGACCCTATTTCGTACTTCTCACTAT